ATTTTTTTTACTAACAATGTGGAAATTTTGAAGAGTTGAAGCAAGAAGGTGATATAATCCTGTCACCCCCTCCCCCAATATTTTAATATCACTGAACTGTTGGTCAAGTAGGAGTTAGAAAAAGGAAAGCAAAAACTCTGGGAAACCAGACAGACTTGTTTGTGGATGTCTGGGCTGCCGATAGTGGTTGTTTATACTGGTATAAAGGGGGCTGAAAGAAAGAGATTGGTGTGGGAGAGATTTTGGGGGTAGAATCAACAGAACTCAGTTTGTGGTGGGAAAGCTTTGTATTTTGATGGGAAACCAAGATAAGAACTTACAATTAACCAAATCCCTTCTTTTTGTCTATTACATGTGAAAGACAGGCTTACAAAGCCTATGTTAAGGGATTTCCAACCCCCCCCCCCACCTCTATTCCTGCTAGTAATTAGGAGGTACTTAAAGAGACTAACAATAAAGCAAAGTAACAAAACTGCCCAGATCTCTGGAGATTCAACTATGCAATTTTTTTCTTTTTACTGCTGCCTAACAAAATAATACAAACTTGGCAGTTTTTCTCGACATACATTTATCTCAGTTTCTGGGGACTAGGAATCTGAGCGTGACTCACCTGCATCCTGCATCCTTTCCTCAGGGTCACACCAAATGGCAATCACGGTGCCAGGCAATGCTGGGGCCCCATCCGAGACTCAAGGTCCTCTTCCAAGTTGACACGGCTCTCAGAAGAAGCCAAGAAGTCTCCTTGTGGCTGGAGAACCCACGACGACTGGAGTCTTCAAGACTGGACTGGTAGAAAGACCTCGAAATCCTTTTAAAAGGACCCCCTAATTAAGTAAAAACCAACCAGAAGTATTTGATTAACCTTAAATCACCTCATTAGGTACATTGGTTCCACCTGACTCCTTCACCGTTCCACGTGATGTGACCTCACACAGGAATGAGCTTCCAGGGGGAGGGGAGTCCTGGCAGGCTTGGTTCTACCATCTTGTTGACTTAATAGAAGATTTTAAAAGTTTTTTTTTATCACTGAATTTCTACTTCAGAATTAGATCTCTTTACCCAAATTTGGTGAAGTCAGTCAAAGCTAAGAAGGGAGGGAAGCACACAGGTGACCCAGGAAGCTAGTCAAATTGGCTTGACTAGCTTTTCTACCTGGAAAACCATTAACCTTATGGCTTCTGAATTCTTTCTCTCCCATACCAGAAAACTGAACAAATGTTGTAAACAGATTTACTTTACTTGTAGAAGAATGTTACACCCATGTTTGAAGAACAGTATTTTGATATCCAGGTCATTTCGTTGGTTGATACTCTTGCAGGAATGTTTTGAGATCTTTATTGAAGCTTTTTCCTCACATTTAATTAGAATCTAGAATCTTCTTTCTTGCTCCACAAGCCTTTGGGGGGGGGTAGGTTTTTTTTTTTTGTTTGTTTTTTGTTTTCTTTTGCCTGGAGAGGTAGGGAGGTTTAGCATATTTAAGAAACCAGGTCTGCAGGTAGGTTTGAGGAGTGAACTACAATACAGGGGCAGAAACTTCAGTTCACACCAACTAGGAATAATTAAAGAGCTCTCACTGAATGAACAGTGGAGAAGAATCAAATGAAAAATTCATGATTTAAACATCTTAGAAAGACCACTGTTTGCAGAATGATCCTCACAATTTCTAGGTGAGACCAGGAGAAAAGAAAGTCAAAATTTCATTAGCACCATAATTGCTGGGCTTAGTTTTCTGTGGAAAAAATATGGTGGCCTACATGGTAGAAAGTGAGAGCTCAGATTTTCCAGAAATTGCTTTTCTCCTACTATACTTGGTCATTAATAAGCACAAACCAGAGGTTTGAAAAGTGTTTAGTTGCTTGTCTAAGTGCACTACTTTTTTTTCTGCCAGGAACAGATTCACCAACCTCGCACAAGGAGGATGTTAACAATAGACATGTGGGGGCCATGAGCCACATTCCCAGGGATTGATTGGGGCCTCAGTTCCCATGGTGATTATATAATCAGCTCAGATGCTACTGCCCACTCCATTAAGAAACGAGAGACAAAAAAGAATAAAGTCGGGGCACTTCAAGGACTCCAAACTGCACAAAGGCCGCCGGCACCACAGCCAGACCCAGGGAGCTGCTCAGACTGTCACATTACACATTTCACAGCACACTAATCGCTCCCTTGTCACCAGGGATCCATTGTAGAAAAGTCTGTATCAGGAAAGCTTTATGAAACTTGCAAAGATTTATTTTGTGTGCTCCAATTCATTCGCAGTTCCCTTTATTACTTTATTAGTATGGTCAGATGAACAATTCTGAATTTCTCTTCCCATTTCAATTTGTATAAACCTCTGTGCTGGTGTGTGTGTGTGTGAACATGTTTGAATGCATGATTGTGACACATGGGGCCAATAATTAGAGAACAGTACTGTTCCCACCGTGTTCTTCCTCATTAAAAAAAAAAATGGAAATGTAACCTTTTTAAAAAAATACTTTTATTTTGAGATAATTGTAGATTCCCATGAAACTGTCAGAAATAATTCAGAAGGATATTACTTGTTCTTCAAGTATTTTTTCCCACGGTAATATATTAATACAGTATTACAACAAGAAAGTGGGCTTTGGTGTAATCTGATATTGCCCTTCATCTTTCACTAGTTTTACATGTATTCATTTGCATATATTTAAATCTATAAATTTTATTATATGTGTGCATTCATGAAATCCTAACTGTATTCAAGTCAGAGAATTATTCCATCCAAGGATTTCTCATTCTAACTTTTCTCATGCTAAGTCATACTGACATCCCTGGAGCTTCTGTCCTTCTTCTCCCCCATTTTACTCCCTGGCAATCACCAATTAGGGAAGGAGGAGGATTTTATCACTCAGATTACCTCACTCTTTTTGAATAATATTCATTCCTGAATAACATATACTGTATTTTACTTACTTGTATGTGTGTTGATGAACATATAGGTTGCTTCTAGTTTTTGGCTATTATGAATTGTGCTGATATGAGTATTAGCATAAAAATGGACAAATGCTTTCACTTCTCTCACTTATATACTTAGGAGTTGGATGGCTCATGTTAAAAAGTAGAAAGAATAGGTTCTACAGAGTCCATCATGCTGGGTGTTCAGCCATGCTCAGACCCTTAATCTCACTGCAGTTTCAACTTCTCCCAAAAGTGTAATCCTAAAGTAACCAGTTTCCTAAATTAATAATCTTGTTCTGCTCTCTTCATGTCTGTAAATACCCTAAAATTTGTATTACCCCTTGCTGGTGAGATGCTGCCCAATTCATAAATCTTTTAATAAATCCAATCAGATCTCTATGTTTGTGGATTTTGCTTTTGAATACTGAAGTAAATGGTAACAATGATTAACTTTTTGAATAATCCCCAGATTGTTTTCCAAAGGGGGTGCAACATTTTACATACCTGCCAGCAGAAGAGTGCTGCAGTTTTGCAATCCTCATTAACACTCATTACATATCTTTTACTTACACATTAAAAATAATCAGTTTTTTTAAATTAAAACACATTAAGTTCACACATTACCTAAGTAAAGCATTCAAAATGCTTGTTGAATGATCCTTGTTAAAGTGATCCTTGTTGAAAGTATAGATTACAGGCAGTCAAGAAGCACCTTGTTCATTTGACTTAAAAATCTAAGCGTTGTATACCCCATAGTTTTCAAGAATGAAACTAATTCCTTAGTTAATGTAAATATACCATCATTTTGGGTCCTCCCTGTTGGCACAGAGGACTAAAGCACAGCACTGTGAAGCTGGCCGCAGTCACTGCTTCATGAGTTCCATCCCCACCCAGGGAGGTGACCCACACGGCACAGCAGACCTCTCCTGTCTGGCCTGCTGCTGCCCTCTGCAATGTACTTCATCAGTCTGGCTGTTCTGCTCCCCACTCTGTCTCTGGTGGATCCTTTCATTATACCTGCACCTCTGGCCTGTACCTCAGTTCTGTATGCATAAATAAATAAATCTTAAAAAAAAAATACCACCATTTTATGACCCTCAGATGTGAGCTATATTTTTTTATATAGTTATGAATATTTATTTCAACCATCTCAACTATTAAGATTTCTACCTATTTGCATTGTGAAGATTCACAGGGATTTTTAAAAAAAAAGATTTATTTATGCATACAGAACTGGGGTACAGCCAGAGGTGCAGGGGTGGTGAGAGAATTCACCGGAGGCAGAGTGGGGAGCAGAACAGGCAGACTGACGATGTACACTGCTAAGGGGAGCAGCGGGCGGGCCAGAAGAGGTTTGCTGCGCCATGGGGATCACCTCCAGGGAGGGAATCAAACTCATGCAGAAGTGGCTTTAGCTTCTTAGTGCAGTGCTAAAGCCGCTGCGCCACCAGGGAGGGCCTCAATAACTCTTTTAGGGACAAAAACTTGTACTGTATGAAAATCCCTATGTAGGGCCCTCCCTGGTGGCGCAGCGGGTTAAAGCACAGCAC